ATTTGATTGATTTCGGATGCGTTGGATGCTTGACGAAGAGTTCGATCCACTCTGGTGATTGGATTATCTGTAGAGTGGCCGAGGCATGAAGGGCGTTGTTCTATTCGTGAACAGTGTCGGGTTCCCGATTGGTCCGGGTCTTGGTTGTTCCGAAACCCTATCCGCTCACGTAGCTCGCCGACTCACTTCAGTCGTTCGTCGACGTCGATTAGGCTCATGTGGATCGGATAGTGATGTTCATCGTCTTGTTAACACTGAACCGGTTGTGGAGAACTATAGGCAATTTTTGATGCCTACAGATACCCCCTCCAAAGTGTTCCTGACTCGTCTCTTTTATAGAAGAGGCTGGAATACTTTGGATGTGATTGGTCTAGCCTTCAGTCGGCGTCAGGACCTATAGTTAGCTCCAACTCTTGGCTCCTTCGATTTTCGGTCTATTCGATGCTTTGACGAATATCCGAAGTTCTTCCGGCGCTGCGTTTATCGCTTGGCCGTCGTCGGAGTCTCGAGTTTGCAGCTGATGAATTGAGTTTGGCTCGTGTCATTGAGTTGACTTTGAACTACCTCCGCCACATTGTGCTGGCTTAGGGTTTCGGATTGTCGAACGTTGACTTTTGTTGCAACGCGTTGACTAGCGTTGACCTAGGGTTACGCGTTGACCGGCGTTGACTCTAGGGTTTCGAATCGTCGAACGTTGACTGGTGTGGATCTTGAATCCTCGAACGTTGACTTGTATCGCAACGCGTTGACCGGCGTTGACCTAGGGCTACGCGTTGGCCGGCGTTGACCCTTAGGGTTTCGAATCGCCGAACGTTGACTTTGGTTGCAACCCGTTGACTGGCGTTGACCTAGGGTTACGCGTTGACCGGCGTTGACCCTTAGGGTTTTGGATCGTCGAACGTTGACTCTGATTGCAACGCGTTGACTGGCGTTGACCTAGGGCTACGCGTTGGCCGGCGTTGACCCTTAGAGTTCTGACTAGCCATTAACACAGTTTATACTCGTACGTTTGCTGGAGTATACACAGTTTAAGCTCTTAAGGTATTGGAGCATCGCGGTCCCAAATGTCGGGGTTGCAGGACCAACTGTTAAAGTTGATTCGTCTGCATGTATGGATTTTATCCTGAATTTGTTGGGTGCTCAAGTCACGAGACCAACTAGTGGAGTTGATGCGTCAATGACTCGCAGTTATAGAACTTTTAGCAAATCCTCAGCCATCAATGGATTTGACAAGCCTTTACCGACTACCGTTTGAGTCGGGCTAGCATGCGGATTGTTTAAGTCCGTTCCGCATGTGACGTTGTGCTAAGAGAGTTAACGCTCTTAGTGCTACGATATTGAATACGTAGACTTCGTCTTTCTTACGGGAATACCGGCAACGCGTGTTAGGCGTTGACTTATCCCTACTCAGGCTTCGGGATAAAATTCCCCGTGCATCGAGTGCCCGGATTTGACAATCGTGTCTTTTCTAAAAGCAAAGACAGATTGAGAAACGGGAGAGGAAGAATTTTATATTCTATCTCCCGGTGCTGAAGAGGAAGAATTTTATATTCTATCTACAGCTGGAAAGGGAACTTGAGGTGGGATCCCCCACCCCCAGAATCCGGAATGATGAACTGGGAGTGGGTTCTCCACTCCGAGCATCGGAAAGGTCCGAGGAGAGGAAGAATTTTATATTCTATCTCCCGGTGCTGAAGAGGAAGAATTTTATATTCTATCTACAGCTGGAAAGGGAACTTGAGGTGGGATCCCCCACCCCCAGAATCCGGAATGATGAACTGGGAGTGGGTTCTCCACTCCGAGCATCGGAAAGGTCCGAGGAGAGGAAGAATTTTATATTCTATCTCCCGGTGCTGAAGAGGAAGAATTTTATATTCTATCTACAGCTGGAAAGGAAACTCGAGGCGGGATCTCCACCCCCAGAACCCAGAAGGATGAAACTAAGAGTGGGATCTCCACTCCGAGAATCGTAACAATTCGGATAACCCTAACTGTCGGAAGGTTTGATTACCCGATTTGGAAGTGGACCTCTCGTTCATTAGAGGAATCGAGAGGGGATTGTGGCTTTGGCCCTAACTTTTATAGGTTTGACCGAAAAGCAAAGAAAGTGAATCACGGTTAGCAAAGGAAATGCCAACTCGTATTATCACTCAAAGGGAAGCTTTAATGCTAGGCGTTTAGGACCTAGCATGTTAAGTCGGGCAAATGGGAATGTTGGTGGATCCATTGTCGTTTAATTTGATCAGCGGATGATTTGGTGAGGAAAGATTAACCTATCAGAGGATTGTATCTCATCTCACAAAAATAACTCATAAGAGTTAGAGAATAAGAAGAGACATTCTGACCTTCAGGGTTCGAACGTGAATTTCTTATTCACCAATTCCACAATGATTGG